TGGCCGAAGATCTCGGACATCGATACTGCTGATAAACGACAGACCAAGCTGGATCTACTACACGACTGGTCCACTAAATGTAGTCCACCTATCAACTATGCCAAATGGTGTGTCCTCCCGATTGCTGTGTCTGATCCACTTGGCACCTACTATCTTGGGGGTTTCCTCTTCAAGAATGCCGCCTGGGAGAACGACCTAGGTATATCAATTGCATCGGATCTAAAAACCACTCAGGACACACTAAGGAGAGTGGCCGCTACTAACAGGATGTGGGGTACCATAAGATCATTCTCTTGCACGACACCAAAGAGCTTCAAGCTACTGTTCACCTCTAACGTACGAACTATTCTTAAGTATGACCTACCGGCTACTTTTCCGTTTTCAAAGCCAGTATGTACCCTAATAGAAAGGGTCCAGAGACGTAGCTCAAAGTATGTATTCGGACTTCGGGATTTTCCCTACCCTCTTCGACTCCACAAGATGCAATTGATCTCACCGGATTGTCGTCACCGCCGAGAAGAACTTATCTTCACCAGGTGCATACTGCGAGGGAAACTTTGAAATGAACTACGGTAGTTTTTGCAAATCAACGTAGAAGGCCCAACACGAGGTCACACTTGGAAGTATTTAAACCGAGGATGCTCCGAGTCCGCTCCGCCGTCGCCCTTCCTACTCGTGTGCTAAACGACTGGAACAGCCTCCCAAAAACCGTAGTCAGCGCACAGACTGAGGAAAGCATCAAGCGGCTTTTGGACTCCCATCTGAGCAAAATGCCTGGACAGCACTGTTCCTCTGCGACTTCCCTGGTCACTTGTGGACTGTTGGGTCGCTAAGGCACAGTTGCTTCTCGTGCTAATTTAGAGGCAACAAGGCTAACCTAGGACTTCTTTTCTGCCCTCTACAATTCAGTGAACTTAATGAACTCAATGAATGGTGACGAAGATCGTGCGGGATTTAAAATGATGCAGAATGTCATTGGAGTCCTTCAATTACATAATCCGTTATCCTTTTATACTATGTCTTATGATACTTCAGCGCCTAGTGACGCTGCAACGTAGTAATAATTATCACGATTGCGTGCCCGGACTAAAAATGCTATGCAAAATTATGAACATAGTTGTGACTTACACATATGCCGTATAATTTATGCACTGTCATGTGTGAATACAACGAAACGATGTTGCTAAATTGCTGATTACGTGAGAAGCATAAATGTTGAAACTGTGTTTTCGATTTCTTCCCTCTGTTATGTGGGCTTAACTCCAATCGGTAATGAAACGCAGAAATGTAAAGTAGCAAAGAGTATAATGCGTATTTGTCATTGTGTGTTCATTGTGAAATTCGCCGCAGAGAAGTAGAGATGTGGAAGTAAAACAAGTGGGAAATAATTCTAACAGACTTAATGTGCTTTAAAATGCTTCCGAATGCACTTTGGAGCAATGCGTGCATTACTGCGCAAATCCGTGTTTAATCGTCTCAGTGTATGCGAAAAATAGCGTAAGTTTAGTATCATGGTGTGAAATAGAATGACAGTAGCACCGTGAATAGGAAACGCATCCGAAATATAATGTGGGTAAAGATAATTATGTTTAACAAAAATAAGTAGCCTTGATTTTGAGACGTATAGGAAATAAGTGTGTTGCTGTGGTTCCGTTAAATACACCGGCACGACCACAGTTGTTTCACGATAAGCATGCATATGAATGAATACACAATGGTGCTTAGAGTATTATGTATATTCGGTATAAAACGGAATGTCAGGCAAACCATATATAGTCAGGTAGCTTCCAGTATGAGATATGCCTAATGGTGCAAGTACCTGCATTAGGTTATCCCAAAAAAACACTGTGTGATACTGTTAAAGTCTGCATAAGACCGTACCTATCCTTTACAGCTATTCGGCGCCAATGTCAAATGGACAGTCTTGCCGGAATTTGTATATCGATAATAATGTGTCTTGTGTCTGGGTGGATTTTGGATGTATAGCTTGTCTGCGTATAAATATGACATAATCTGATTTGCCTCAAAGCGGACATGGTTAATGTTGCCGAAACCCTAGGCTCCTACAAGGCATCAAACTGTACATTGTGTACAAATAATGTTTCTGTACGTTTATGTGGACAAGTGACAGGTAACAGTTGCTGCCGAGAAGACTATCGAGCGCGCAAACTGCAAGCGGTCTGACTGGTTAGATGTGGACAATGCGACCATTGGAGCATTGGTGTCGGCGAAGAATGCAGCAGTTGCTGCACACGTTGCAGAGCCCAGTGACTTGGGGAAGAATAGTCAGTTTCGCAAACTTCGACGGCTACTGACCCGAGAGCTTCGACGCATTAAAAATGCATTGTGGACGAAGGATGCGAAGCAGATGGAATGCTACGCCGAACGGCACCAACATAAGGAATTCTTTGACTCCTTGAAGGCCGTGTATGGACCGAGGTTGGAGCCATTGAGGACGCTGATCGATGGTAGATCAGGCGTTACCTGCACACAGACTGCAGACATAATGCAGATCTAGCGGAAACACTTTGACTGTCTCTTGAGCAATCGTCCAGAGATCGACTGGCCTACTTTGAACTGCCTGATGCAGCACGATATGAAGCCGAGTCTGGCGGACACGCCGACATTGGATGAGACGCAGAGAGTACTTGCTCAGTTGCGAAACGGCAGGTGTGCCGGCGCCGACGGGATCCCGCCTGAAGTATTGAAACACGGCGGACCCGCGTTGTTGACTACGCTGCACCACTTGGTGCAACGCGTATGGATTGAGGAGGAGGTGCCTCCTGACGTGAAGGATGACCTTGTGCTACCACTGTACAAGGGCAAAGGGAGCAAGCAATATTGCACGAATTATCGTGGCATCAACTTGCTGACTTGTGTGGGCAAGGTGATTGCCCGAATCCTGCTCAATCGCCTCGTGAGTCAGATTGTGGAACCAAACGTGGCGGAAGAGCAGTGTGGATTCCGTTCGGGTCGCAGCACTATATATATATATATATATATATATATATATATATATATATATATATATGCTTGCGGCTCGCCATTTACAGAAGTTTGGAGAACGACACCAGCCGTTATACTCGCTGTTTGTTGATTTCTCCAAGGCATTTGATACGGTGAACCGCGAGGCATTGTGGCTGATGTTGGTTAAGTTTGGTTGTCCGCGTAAGTTTGTAAGTTTACTTAAATGTCTGCATAGTGGTATGCAGGCGAGGGTGCAGCTGAGTGGAGAGACCTCGGATGAATTTGCAGTTGTCTGTGGCGTAAAGCAAGGCTGTATCTTAGCTCCTGCCCTGTTGGATATTTATCTTCATGCAATGACCTCTTGTGCTTTTAATGCTGCTTGTGCTTACAATGTTCGTGTGCAGCAGCGTATTGATGGTGGGTTGCTGAACATCCGTCGTTTCGGTGCGAGAACTCTAGTCCGTGAGACAACTATCCGTATGTTGCTGTTTGCTGACGACTGTGCGTTGTTTGCACACAGCGCGGATGACTTGCAACACATGACTAGTGCTCTGGCTTCGATAGCGGCCAAATTCGAGCTCACCATCAACACACTCAAAACTGTCTGTCTTTCAGTCTTCGCCGGAGATGCAGCATTCAATATTGCCGCAAATCAGCATTGGTGTTAAAGTATTAGAAACCATCTCCCGCTTCTTCTACCTTGCGTGTGGGATGTCAGCTGACCAGCAGCTACACAGTGAGCTGCGTATCCGCGTGTCGAAGGCAACGGTGGCATTCGGGAAGCTAGAGTACCGAGTGTTGAACAACCATCAGCTTACCGTTTGCACTAAGCTGACGGTCTACAAATCCATGGTGCTGTCCGTTCCTCTATACGGCAGTGAAAGGTGGATGATGTACCGGCGGACTGTGCGATAACTCGAGCGGTTCCATCAACAGTATTTGCGTCGGATTCTCCGCATCGGATGGGGCGACAGAGTTGCTGACACGGAAATGTTGCGTCGTAGTGGAATGTATGCAGTGGACTGCGTACTTTTGCCGCGACACCTGAGGTGGCTCGGTCATGTGAGCCGTATGCATTCGACGCGGATACCGAAACAACTATTATATGGTCAGCTGAGTTTTGGGGAAGCGGCATACGGGGAAACCGAAGCTTCGTTACCAGGATATGATCAACGTGAGCCTCACGTTCTAATCTTGATTGCAAGTCATGGGAATCGAAGGCGGCTTGCATGGCGCGATCTATTCACGAAGGCAGTTGCCGAAGTTCGGGAGAAAGGCCTCATGCATGCAGAGGAGAAGAAGCAAGTGCGGAGGCGGCAAGCGCCGATGGGTTGTACTCCATTGACATCGAGCGCATGGTGTAGCACATGCGGTCGCAAGTGCCTGAGTCAGGCAGGCCTAGTGAGCCATGAGCGAGGCCACTCGGGGCCACCACCGAAGCGACGACGGGTCCTTTTGAGAACGTAGGCAGAACCGCCTCAGCGTTTGTAGGTACGCTGCATTTAATTTCCTAACCGCGTGCTTGCATGCTGAGTTTCTTTGTTTAAGGTGTTGGGTTTGCTATATTGTCCTAATGCCTTTTTACCTCATAACATCTACCTGAACTATCTTCTCTAAACTTGCACATGTCGCTTAAACTAATTCTAATTAGCTTTGATAACATTTTCACATTTGTAGCATTTTCTTAAAATATATCTGCTGATGTCTTTAACTTATTGGGAATTTGTTCGTAACCAATTTCTTTTATATGCTCAGTTAGTAGCTCACCGGAACGATGCCTATCCGTTGCTGGTAGCTCAGCTGGCATGCAACTGTTCTATTTATTTTCCTTTATGTATTGCGGCACAGTAGCTGAGGTGTTTCCCACCTCTAGCTGACGTGTATAATGAATGAATGATGAGTTAGTGAAGAGCTATGTCACCGTATCTGAATGCATTACTCGATTTATTTTGTTTGATCTTATCGTTTCAGGTGGTTGACTGTTGCTTGATATCCCCGGTGTGGCTGCCCTTGATTTGCATATTGACAAGGTGCCTTCCTGTCTATTACCCACCACCTCCATACTGGCTACAGGAGACAGTTGGTCGTTGCTGGAGGAGACGTGCATGGTCCTTGTGGTCGTGCTAGGCTCACAGAGTCGTTCCATGCACTGGCTGTGGAGCGGACTACAGTCCAGCCACTGCCTTGTGTGCGCTTCATTCCGAAATACAGCGTGCTTGTGTTTGCCTGTGAAGGAGTGTGGACCGGACCGTGTACAATTTGATAGAATGCGAACGTACTTCTCAGGCGGGAGGAGTACCCGCAAGGACGAAATGTGTCATTCACGTATTCAAATGGGGGCGGCGATTTCCACAACTTGGCATGTGTTTAGCATGAACATGGAGCTCATGTGCAGGGTGGATATCAATGAAGCAATGACACCGAAAATGCAATGATCTCATCGCGCGGTCAGTTCAGTCGGCAGTTTAGTTCTATGCAAAGTGTTCATACATATGTGGCGGACGCGTGGATGCGTCACGTCAACACAGCAGATCACTGTGGACTGGGTTGTATAAGTCGTAAAATCAAATAAAAAAATGTTGCATGCGGAAATCATTGCTCACCGTATGGTAAAGTTTATTGTTGACTTCGCTTCATGGGAAGGGCAATGTGTAAGCGCCATATGCATAGGGAGAATGCTGTGTTAGTGTAATGATCACGGAACCACCAGCTGATCCGGATACCGGTTGTTCCTGCCTTTGCCATCAACCGTATATCACTGTGTGGATGGCAAAAACGGGTAGCAATCGGAAACGAAACAGACGGCAGCCCTGAAAAACGCCTATTTATCGTCCAACAATGAATAGAGAGCAGTTGGCGGAACCAAAATTGAAGGGCCTGTGAAAACGTAAAGGTGCATGATAGATGATCAATGGCCGACCACTTACTGCTGTGCGGACGCTCATTAGGACGATGGACAACGGTAAACGGAGGAGCGGCATGCGGCGTGGTACTGTTGTGACAATGTAGGTTGGCGATTACAACCTTATCCCCTGGGCAATGGAGCCACACTTACTGCTGTGCGCATGCATTTTGGAGGAGGCACGAGGACTTACCTAGGTACTGCATGATGCAAGGTGCAGCGATGACAGCGTCAGTTGGCGACTACATCCTTACATACTGGTCAACATAACCACGCTGACCGCTGTGCGTATGAATTGTGGTGGAGGCATGAAGACTAACGGAGGTGTTGTATAATGCCAGATGCTGTGAAGTTAGGTAACCGGGTGACTAAATGTTTACCTAGTGGTCAATTGTGGCACTCGTATGGCTGTGCGGACAAGCTTTACGACGGCGGACGATGGCAATCGGTGGTGTTGGATAATGCAAGGCGCTGTGGACAGATGGAACACGCGCTGTTAACTTATTTGACGCAACTGTAAACCATAAAATAGCCCAGGAGAAATTACGTTATGCTAAAGAACGCGCTGTCTGGAAGACACAGCGACGTGACTACGGGTGTTTACTCAAAGTCAACCCAATTCCTATTCGACTACAACAGTGAAGTGACATGACCACACACTGAGCGTTTCAAACGGCAAAGTATATGAGCAATTTCATGCCAAGCTTGACCACTATACCCCCCCCTTCAAACCACATAAAGCAGCAGATGCAGGCCATAAAGTGATTATTTCGTGTGAGCCTCCGTAGTTTATATAGGCCACTTAAGCAACATGGCAGCTTGCTAATGTCTTACGAGCACGAAATGAAGGATAACTGGCACGCAAATAAATCTCGTAAGCAGTGCTGCGAAAATCTGTGTTTTGATGTTCCATCCTAACCTTGAATACTGTGCAAGAATGACATTGGAATGCAGGGAGGCCTTCCTGTAGATGTATGTATGTATGGCTTGCCACAGTGACAGGCAAATCCGAAACCGGATGCCGCCAACCATTCTCAACAGTCTATTAGCTAGACACAGAGCCAGCCTAAAACCATGGAGATAAGGAGATAAGCAAGATTCATGGCGTCATAATCATCGTGGCATGCTAGTTGAAGGTGAGCAACACACTTCAACTAATATGCCGCAGGAAGAATGGAACATTTTGATAAAAAGTAGAACAAAACATTTTTAGTTTGTTTTTCACACGCCGCTTTTGTTCTTTTTTGTCATTTTAATGTTTGTAGTATTAAACATGTGAATCAGTACAATAATGTACACAATTCTTCCATTTATTCCGGTTGCGGGCCATATCTTCAATAGTGCTAAGCCATTGGCACTCCTCATCTTTGGGTCCCCATCCTGGAAGACGTACGGATCCTACAGCGGCTAGACACGTCAGCGATTTCATGTGCTGCCGCCAAGTGGAAGGCTGACCACCACGCGGTCAACTCCAGCCAGGTCCTTGACGAGCAAATAGAGCGCGACGCGGTAGACGCTCAGGTGCCATGCGTAGGACGTGACCGAGTCATCTCAACTGGCGCAACAAAACCAGTTTGTTGAATGGAATACTCGCATTCCCCAAGATGCGACGTCGAACGTCATTACTATTAACTCGATGTTGCCACCAAACACGCGCCATCCTCCTTAAGTAACCGTTATCGAAGGCAGAAAGACGGCGCATGTCTTCCACGCGAAGCGTCCAGGACTCGCACCCATACAACAATATTGAGCGAACTGATGCGCTGTAAACGTGGCCCTTTAGTGAGAATGAGACGTCGCGACGACGCCACAAGTGCCTCAAATTGACAAATGCCGATCGAGCTTTAGCGATACGAAGAGAAACTTCTTTGTTGATAGTGCCGTCAGCAGAAACACAGCTCCCAAGGTAGACGAAACTATCTACCTGTTCAAGTTGTGCACCTTCCAGAGTGAGTACGGGAGCAGGTGAAAGCCAATTCTTGAGCAGTACTTTACACTTCGATGGGGCGAAGCTCATGCCATACTTAGATGCTTCAACCGCCAAACGATCCAGAATGAGTTGCATACTCTGAGGATCGTCACCAAGTAAGGCGATATCATCAGCATAATCTAACTCGGTCGCGCGCTCACCCGGTTGAAGCTCTAAGCCAAAATGTTGGAAACCTTCTAGATCATTTGACAGAACGTCTTCGATTGCGAAGTTGAAGAGGAATGGGGACATAGGGCAGCCCTGTCGCACACCGCTATTGACAGTGAATTGCGAGGAAAGCTTGCCATAGACCCTCACTCTGCCGGGTGTATGAAGGTAAAGTGCTCGCAAGATGGCGGTATATTTCTCTGGCACCCCGTTCTTTAGTAAGCAACGCCATAAAGCAGGTCGATCAACGCAGTCAAAAGCGGCACGTATGTCTAGAAATACAATGATAGTGGGCCTGTGATAAATGGGGCGATGTTCGAGGAGCTGGCGGAGCGTGAAGATTTAATCCACGCATCAGCGGCCAGGGCGGAAACCAGCTTGTTCTTCACGGTAGTATGATTCACGTACTGGGGGTAGCCTGCGAAGCAGAATGGATGCCAATAGCTTAGAGGCAACCGAAATAAGACTAATCCCGCGATGATTTGCACATGAAGTGCGAGAGCCTTTCTTGAAAATCGGGATAATGACTGATTCGCCCCAAGAGGAAGGCACTTTCTCTTCATGCCAAATTTTTGCGAACAGCGCGGTCAGCTGGTTAATGATCGCCACACCGCCGTACTTGAATAGTTCCGGAGGAAGTCCGTCTAAGCCGGCAGCCTTGAAGCGCTTCAAGCGTCGAATCTCTAGGCAGACTTCCGCTTCGCTGGGTGGATTCAGAGGGACGAGCCAGGGTGGACAACAAGGTGTGCTGCATGTACTGATGGATGGTGGAGGCCAGTTGAACTGCGAGTGAAAGTGCTCGGCCCAGCGGTCCATACGCCTCTGTTGGTTGGTGATCGGAGACTCATCCACCTCACAAATGACCTCACTGACACCAGGTTTCCTGAGGCCAGTGGACCGAATGAGTTGGAAAAGTCTGCGAGTGTTGCCAGAGAGGGCAGCGGTCTCCATCACTAAAGCACGCTCAGACCACCATGTCTCGCGATCCTTGCGTAGGCTTTGCTTGAGCAGCCGGTTGGCAGAACGGCGCCGCTCGTTACAGTCTGATTCCGCCGGGATATCTTTGCGGCGTTCGAACAGCTCCAGAGAACGAGCAGAGATCCAAGCCTTCAAGGGGCGTCGAGTTAGGCCGCAGCATGACTGTCCGGAAATGGTCATTGCCTTCCGTAGACAAGTCCAGTGTTGTTCAACTTCTTGCGGTGGATTGCAACTGAGTGCATATGCCAGTGAAGACTGATAGCTCGTCTAGACAGAGGAATCAGTTAATCTGTTTACATCAATCTTGCGATGCTTCGTGTTTCGGGATCCTCCAAAACACATACAGATTTTCGCGCAGACCAGAGCATGATCTGAGTCAACGAAGGTGGACCAAAAGGACCTGCAGTCCAGTACGCTGCCGCGCCATCTGAAGCTAATTGCAATGTGATCAATTTGAGACCACGGTTGTGTTGAAGAAGGGGGACGCCACGTTGCGGAACGCTTCTTCGTACGCCTGAAGTTAGTGCTCGAAAGAAACAGTCGGTTGTCTTCGCACAATGTGAGAAGTCTCTCTCCGTTATCAGAGCGGTTCTCATCGAGCGAGTGATGACCACCAAGATGGCGTTCGTATGGTAACAGGCGGCCAAGCCGTGCATTAAAATCCCCAGCAAGGATAACGACATCCGACTTTTTAGCATTAGTCAAGAGCTGTTGTAGATCCCGATGGAATTCGTCCTTGACCGAGTCGCCACTGCCGTCAGTTGGAGCGTACACGGAGATCACAACCAAGTTGTGTCTCTCTTCGCGGTGCCTGTTGAGTCTACACGAACCCCGAAGCCGAACTGCACATAGTCGGCTGTTAATAGAAAACCAGTCCAGTAGTGCCGCCTCGGCCTTATCACTTAGTGCTATACCTACACCAGCCAGACTCGCTGAGGCTGCTTCTGGATCTCCAGAAAAACGCAGGCGATATCTGGCTTCGTGGTCAGGGGGGATGTCAATGTAAGCACAGTGCTGGGATCTTGCAATCGGGTTTCTGAAAGACAGCAGACATCAATGTCAAGGGAATCTAGAGTGCGCGCTAGACCGGCTTGCTGTCCAATCTGCATGAGTGTTCGAACGTTGAAGCACACCAGACGGAACGAGGATCGGGGACGAAGGAGAGCCATAGGTTGAATTCCTTGGTCTGCGGCGCAACCGGAATCGCAGCCAGATTGTTGAGCACATGAATCGGGTAACGAAAAGTGAGGATTGTTAACAAACAAACAATTGGCGTGTGATGAAGTCGCGTGAAAGTGACTAGCAGAAACAGTAGCTGATGAGCAAATTGTAATAGAGTCCATGGTTTTGCGAGAGGGCGTGATACTACCCGGTTGCCCAAGCCGAAGTAGGGAGTTGACTTAGGGGACTCCACCCCGAGCCTTTGGCTAAATAACCTACCCGCAAGGCAGCGGGGCGAATTTAGGGAATCGCGCCCATTGGGAGGCGTTGACTGAATGTTCAGT